ACTGAGTGGAGAAACAGAGGCAGCATTTCAGAGGGATGAAGCGCAAGGGTCACAGAAGGGTTATGATCACTGGACTCCGGGTATATTTTTAAGCACGTGGGAAGGAACCAGGGAGAGACTAACCGATGGGACATTTTCCAGGGAGGGTAGGATTTACGGGACTGTGTTTTCTCTAGGAGGGTGGAGCCCGCCTTCCTTGGAGACAGTGAGATCAGAGCAGAGGGCAGGAGCCTTGAGGTTTAAACAGAGAGGGACTCTGGCTGAGCACCTTCCTTCTGGGGCCTTCTGGGGCGGTGGCACAATGTAGGAACCAGGTGATGAGGGGCCAGTTGCTTCTGTCTCGGTGACAGAAGAGGCAAGGTCACCTCACTTGACTGTGGACCGAGAGGTTTAAAGCTGAAAGAGGGCTGGCAGTGAATTGGATACAGATCTAGCCTGCAGAGAGAGAGGCCTGGCCATGCTCCAGGTTTTTTTTTTTTTTTTTTTTTTTTGCTGGCGTCCAGTGCGTTTCCGCCCCGCCCACCCATGACATTTTCATCCGAGGGCTGACCTTGATCTGTTTAATGACATCAGTTTTGTTTACATGTGGGTTTTACTCGGAGACAAACAGAGGTTTAGCTAAACAATGGACCCTTCAGAAAATTTGTTAATGAAAGAAAACATTCAACATAAAAATTAAGAGATGCAAATAAGCAAAAAGGAGATAAGTGTGAACTCACCACTGAAGAGAAAGTGGTGAACTTAGGAGTTAGAGACATAAGTGGGAGTTTTTGGCTCCGTGGAAATAGCCGTGGTGGCAGCGAGTACCAATTGCTGCCTATTTACCACATTGCCTGGCTGCTCTGTGTGTCATTTTGTTTAATCTTTTCAGCAGCTGTGTTTTATCAGTAGTCATTATCTCTGCCTTATAGATGAGGAGGCTGATGCTGCTAGCAAAAAATTAAGTACCTTGCTCAAGGTCACACAGGCAAGATGAGGCAGATGTAGGGCCAGATCCAGGTCTACTAGCACCTGACCTCAAGGATGCAACTCTTTCAGGGAAAAGTGATGTGTGAAATTCCTAGTCTGATCCCAGCCTTTGGCATGCCTATGGAAAACATTGTTTTTAAACAATGCCTTTGAACAAGCCTTGTTTAAAAATACCTGTCACTGAAGTGTAGTTAGCATACGTAAGCCATACATGTAGCCCAGGCTGACTTCAAACTTGGAATCCTCCTGCCTCAGCCTCCTGAGTGCTAGGATTACATACCACCATACCTGATCCCATTTGAAAAATTTGACATGTATGTATACACCAGAAACCGTCATCAAAACCAAGGTGATATCCGGATGGTGAGATGGCTCATCCAATAAAGATGCTTGCCACCAAGACAGACAACTTGAATTTGACCCCTAGGTCTCAATTACATGGTGGAAGGAAGGAGGGAACCAACTTCTACAAATTATCCTTTGACCATCACGTAGGCGCTTTAGCAGGGGTGCAAGGCCCCACCCCTGAGGGCAAAGCTAATGAGCATTTCATTTATACCTGTGAGTGAGTTTGTGCCCTTCTCATTTCTCCTTTCTTCATCACCCCCAGCCAATGTTTGGCTGCCACTACACATTAGGTCTATTTGCAAAAATTTTATATAAACAGTACATATATATATATATATACATATATGGCCTGTTTGCCTCTGCACAGTTATTCTGAGATTCCTCCTTGCTGGCAAATGTCTCTACTCATTCCCTTTGTGGCTTAGCAACAGTTGCAAGACCTTATTACCAAATAGTAAAAGAGGAGAAATGTAAACTGGTTAATCCTGGCCCTTGAATAGTAATTTAGAGTCCCATTATAGTTTTCTTTATGTGCCAAGTACTTTTCAGATACACTGTATATAAAAATCTGGCACCAGCCCTGCCAAGCAGTTTCAGTTTCATCTTCCAAAGGCTGGAAGAAACGAGGGGCTCTCATAGGGCCCCACAGTTGGAGCAAAGCGGAGGCTTGAACCTAGTTCATCTCTTTTAAAGATACGGGACTCTGGCTCCCATGGATGCTCTGTATTGTAGATCAGCAGCTTTCTTGAACAGGAAGAACAAAATCCCACTGCCCAGTGTTGCTCCTTGCCCTAAACGTGGAATGCAAAATTTAAGCCTTCAAAACAAATAACCCCATGAGCAATCAGACAGCAGACATTTTTTTCTCAGCTATGAACGCTCGGGAGTCACCTTGTGAAATTTCCAAGCTGAAAGCCTGGGGTGGATAATTCGTCTGTGTCCTGACCCATTCCCGAGACCTGACTCTGGGCCAAGGCTCTTGACACCATTTATGGATCATGAGCCGGCTCAAGAGGAAGTAGATTATCATCATTCTGTGGAGCGGCTTCTGCTGCATACTCTTTCTTTCTTTCAGCAAACATTGATTTTTTTTTTTTGGATGAGGCAGTCATAGGTTAAACGCTGTGGTATACTGGGCTTTTTTTCTGGGTTATTGTCTCTTCTGCACACACACAGCTTCCTCTCCCTAGACGATCAGGTGATTTAACTTTGAGAGTGAGACACAGGCCATCTCAGTCTGCCTCGGTAGTAGAGTGGACCTGGTCAGTTTATCTCTCTGAGCTCCAGTTTGCTCAACTACGGATGGCAACGTCCGGCCTGCCTCCCAGACGTTGAAGGGAGGGTTGATGGAATCTTGGATGTGCTCAGTAGAAGTGAAATGTTTTTATGCCTGCTCTACAGACAAGGGAAATCAAGGTGACAAATAAATAACAAACAGATAAATAGATAAACAGACTGATTGGTCAGCAGCAGGAGAACTCAAATGTCGGTCTTAAAGCATTCAAGTTCCATGTTGTCAGGCTCCTTGCTAAACTTAACCCCTCATCTGTTTCTATCTCCTTGAGACCACAGAGAAGCTGTCAGAGAAAAAAAGAAAAAAATGGAGCCTGAACAAAGCAAATAACAACATTCAAAGTCCAGTATTGCAGAAGTAGTGCTTATAGCTTGATAATGGGAATATGGGAAATATTGGGAAGAGGAATAATGGGAAAAGGAAAAGATTACCCATAATCCAACTCTAAATACATTATGCTATATTTTATTTCAATATCTTGTGTTTTCTGAAATATGATTTTATGTTTCTTACATAATGTATAATCACACTGCAAATATCTGCTTTTTTGCTTCCACCATCACTGTTCACACATAATTTCAGATTTTTTATGAACATAATTTCTGGTGTGGAGGGAAAGGCCACCTCCGTTAACTTCCCCGTTCTCACACTCTAGGATATCCATGCCTTTCCATTTTTTCTCACTACTGATAAACCATGGCCATGCATAATTTCATGGCACTCTTTGAATGGAAAAAAGAAATATAAAGGAAAGGAAAGGACATGACTGCCCATAGGTGTAATGGAGGAGAAAGTTTATTATAGATACATGGAAGAGTGTAGCCAGAGGCAGACACATTTGGGAAAGTCCAGAGTGGTCAAGACAAATACAGCAGCCAGGAGGCCAGAGGTACCAAAGGAGCAAAAAACAGCAGGTAACTAAAATGTCTGGATTATATAAAGAAGAGCCTCTCAGGGAAAGGCAACCCAGCCCCTGGTCTGGAGAGTTCTAGGTTGGGGGAGGGGGACATGCCAGCCATACCCTATAACAGGTAGGAACTGAAGGATGCTGAAACTTAGCACTCTTATGGCTGGAGGCTCCTGAAATAGAATCACCAAGTTGACACTGTTTAGAGTTGGAGTTTTTGTTAAGTCTGGCTTATTGAGGGATAATTTATGCAGTGCAGTATTCACTTCTTTTAAGTGTATATGTATACATTCAGAAGGTGAAAAATAATAGAGCAAGAATCAATAGCCCAGAATCCCAGCAGCTTCTCCTGCCTCTTTCTGTCCAACCAAGAAAAGCCTCATTGTAGCTCCTGTCCCATGACCAGCTTGTCCTGGTGTAGCTATGAGGGGCTTCTGCCTCCCCAGATGTGGGGTCTCTTTGCAGTCCTTCTCTTTGCAGTCCTTCTCTTTCTCTCTCTGCCAATGCCTAGAATGCCTGCTTCTTTTTCTGCCTCCTCCCTCCCTGTTTTTTCTTTCTGTTTCCTTAAAGGGTTCTCCCTGTCTTTCCAGAGCACCTTGAGTTTCATCCAAATTGGGAAAACCTTTTTCTACCTTGGTTCTTCTCCTCTATATCCTCATCTTCATCATCATCCTCTTGCCCTCTTCCTCCTCCTCTTCATCATACTCATCCTCTTGTCCTCTTCCTTCCTCCTCCCTCATTTCCATCCTTCTCCCCTCCTGGCCTCCATTAACATTGTATTTGCCTTCATTGACACCCTCATGGTTAGTTGAAGCTGCTTTTTTTTTTTTTTTTCTTTTCTTTCATTTGAATGGAGTGCCTTTAAGAAGCAGGATAAGCTTTTGGTAGATCTCGAACCTTCCAAGGGATCGAGACGAGTAGCTGTGTATTGGACAAAAGTTATATGACTTCAGAACTGACTCCCGAGGTGACCGCTTGTGCCCACAGCAGGCTTTCAGTCTCCTCTGGCGTTTTGTTGAATTGCTTTCCTCACCTCTTCCTCTTTTTGTTTGATCCCCCTCCCCCCCTTTTTTTTTTCTGTGTCCATGCTGCTTTTGGAAGCGAGTGAAACAGCATCATAGCTGTTCAGATGAAGAGGAGAGAGGGTGGTACTCCAGCTTCTCATCTGCCGTTGAGAGAATGATAGCTTTTTAACCTTTCAGGTCTGTGAATCCCAGCTCCGTGAGTTCCCTGTCTAATGTGTAGAGCATAGCTAACTCTCAGCGACGTTGAAATCACCAACACATTTAGGGATGCCCTTTCACCAATACTAAATGGGTGACCATATATCCCAACCCCCTGATGATAATCCCTGGGTGCTTTTGTGTAATGCTGTGGCTACAGTGGCTGAACAGGAGCGGTACGGGCATCATACCAGCTGGCTGCGGGGGCAGCTTTGTACAGGAAGGCTATCCCACCCTCCCTCCATCCTCTGTCTTTCAGGAGAAGATCGGATGGCGAAAGGACGCCCTGCACCTGCTGGTGTTCACAACGGATGACGTGCCCCACATCGCGCTGGATGGAAAACTCGGCGGCCTGGTCCAGCCACACGATGGCCAGTGTCACCTGAATGAAGCCAACGAGTATACTGCGTCCAACGAGATGGTGAGGGCTGGGAGGGCTCCTCTTACTTTTGCTTGTAACCCTGTTGCCTGCCCCTTCCCTGAAAACTTCCTTGGCCCTCAGTACTTGCTGGTGCTCCGCCCCATTCATTATTTTGCCTTTTCCAACTAAGTTTTAAAACCTCCTTGTGAACTAAGTCTTGTCAGGGATTTCCGTAGCTGGTTTATCTCTGCCATTGTGTACCCATTGGGGGCTATTTCACTGGAGCAAAAGAGGTGACCTGGTTGCCCAGTGGTTCTCATAGAGGGGTGATCTGAAGCCAGGGTGGAGCCTGCTTTCCAAGACCTTGCCACATGTGTTAGGCAGGCTTTTCAAGAAAGGTATGTCTCCTTCTTCTTCCCCAGATCCAAGTTGATATCTGGCTTGTCATTGCAAGACAAGCCCATTTTCTCTAGCTTCAGGAGAAAGCTTTCCAGATCATCCAGGAGTGTTGGAGTCTAGAAAAACGGCTTTTTAACTATAAGCCCTCACCCAGTGGTGACCCTGGTATACCCACCAGGACCTAGTTAAATTGCCCCTGGTCCTTCCTGTCTCCTCACTTGGGCACCTCTCCCACCCCCACCCCCACTATCACAGCCAAATACCAGAGAGCAGCGGCCTCCTCTGCCTGTGCTGAGCCATGAACAGGGGCTGCAGATGTTGCTTACAAGAAGGGCAAGGAGTGGCCATAGGGAAGGAAGCAAGTTAATGGGCACTGGTGGCGGACGGTGGACGGTGGAGCTGTTCTTCCTGGAGCCATAATTGCCCCCATCCCTCTTGAAAGGATGGAGCGGGACACAGATCACACCTAGAGACGCCCTACCCCTTGACCCTGCCCTTTGGGAGTGTCTGGTGAGCACCAGAAGGGCCTTTCTCCGAGCTTCACTTCCTGTAGCCTCTTCAGGAGCTGCTGATGGGCTTGGTTATTGGTCCCAGGGGCGCACCCACGGGAAAGACTCGTCCAGTGGCAGGCTCTGCACACCGCAGATCACGTGCTGGCCTCACAGCTGGTTGCAGCTGTTACAGTCCTGATTTTCACCTTGGCCTTAGGACTATCCATCGCTTGCCTTGCTTGGGGAGAAGCTGGCAGAGAACAACATCAACCTCATCTTTGCAGTGACGAAGAACCACTATATGCTCTACAAGGTACTCCTGAGGGAGGGAGGGGCCCGGGGGCCCGGTCGGTTAAGAGTGGGAGTGGGCGGGGTCAATGGAAGGGACACGACAGCCCTGTCTATCTGTGCTTGGAAATAATAAGGAAACTCCTGAGTGTTCCTATGGCCAGGAGTTTTAATCTGGGTTATCTAATTAGCACGAATCCTCATCATTTTCAGAAGATAGGTGGAGACACAGAGGCCTGGGAAAGGAAGCTCCGTACAGAGGAACCTGAGACATTAGGCAGGCTGCAGGGCTAACTCAGGATTCCAGCTGCATGCCTTCCTGCAGAGGGTGGAGGCAAGGAGTGGCCTGGGACTGTAGTTTCCCCAAGAATCAGTCAGTGACTGAGAGAAGAGAGCGGTGGGCTTGTTCTAACAAGTCTTTCCCCAGGTTGTCGCCTGGGCCACCATCCCGGCTATCCCAGTGAGCTGCAAGCTGCACTCACAGGTAGAGGACATTTGGTCTCATCCCTGGCCTCTGCGTGTGCCCTCACATGTACTCCCACAGACACACACACACACACACACACACACACACACACACACACACACACACGGCCTCTGGCTGTGTGAGGGCTCATGTGAGCTAGGCATAAACCCAGCTCACCCCAATGCCCCGTACATTATGAGAACATAGGGCAGGCCGTCAGGAATCCCTTAATTATTCCCCCAGAGAACTTTTGTTCAAGTGTGTCTCAAAGGCTCCTCCTGCCTTATCAGCCACGAAAACATCACAGTGTCTTCCTGAGTTCTGGATCCTCCTTGAGCCCGAGTCTATCTTAGATGATAAAATGCAAAGACACTTACTTTTTGTCTGGTGCGAGATCACGGGTGAAAGCTTGTCCGCTACAAACCGCGTTTTTTTAGAAGGATTAATCTCAGGAGCTGTATTGGGCTTTGTTCGACGAGGGAAGAAATCCTGCCTGGCTTCCGCCTCCTTCCACGGAATAGGGAGGCCTGTACAGCCCGAGAGCGATGGGGACTCAGCCCTGTTGTCAGAACAGCACTCTGGAGCTGTGCTGGGGCCGAGGGCTTCGTCCCAGGGCCTTACGTAGAGCTATCAAAAGGTCCTCAGAGTGAATGACACCGTTGGTATCTTAGCTCCCTACTGAGAAGAAGGTTGTCCTTCACACACTTGGGGAGCGGCCCTCTGTGCTCCAGTAGAACAGGCTGAGTCACCTGGAAACAAGCCTGGGATTACCAGGTGTAAAGGCCAGGGTGACCTGAGAGGCTGAATAGCCCTCCCACAGCAATCACTAATTGAGAAAGTGCTCTGTGGGCTGCGTGGAGTCCAGTCTTAAGGAGGGATTTTCTCCATTGAGGTTCCCCCTTCTCAGGTGACTCTGGCCTGTGCCAAATTGACATAAAATTAGGCTGCACAAAGACAAATGGTCTTATTTCTCTTTGTTTTATGTGTTTGTTTGTTTTTCAAGAATTTTACAGCCCTGATTCCCGGAACCACCGTGGAGATTTTGCACGGAGACTCCAAAAATATTATTCAACTGATTATCAACGCGTACAGCGTAAGTCACTGGCTTTGACACCCCTGCTCCCACCTCCATCCTGCCCCTTCTGGAGCACTGAGGCCTGGGAGCTGATACAGGTTTGGGTGGAGGTTTAGCTCTGTTTTTCCCCCTTCTATCGGGGACCCCCCGTGTCTGAGGTGTTGCTAGGTCTGTACTCAATTTCCCCATGTCTCTGTGTCTTAAAGAATCAAGTTTGGGCATCAGAGAAGATGTCTAGCTAGTTGTTCCCATATCCCCTTTCATCATCTGCTGCAGTTTGGGCTCCTCACAAATCGTAGTTTGCCTCATCTGTCCTGCGACTTCCTGCTCAAGCCAGAATTTTCTCTTCCCTTCCTCTGCACTATCACTGAGGATGCTCTTCAATTCTATCTAATCCACCTCCCCAAGACAGGGTCTCTCTATGTAACCCTGGCTCTCCTGGGACTCACTGTGTAGAGAAGGCAGGCAGAGCTCCGTGAGTTCAAGGCCAGCCTCTGCCTCTGGAGTATTGGAATTAAAGGCATGCCCGGTTCCATATCTAACCTTTAAATCCTCATCTCAGAGCCCAGAGCCAGTGAGGCAAGGTTTCTAAATTAACTTACACGTTTAGTGGCTCTTAAGCTTTGGTTTACTTTTAGCAAGAGAACAAACTTAGTTCCAGCAGTTTCTAAAATGTACTGTGCCAAAATGGAGTTTGCGAAGTGGGCTCCGGTGTCTCAAGCTCTGGGCCTGTGGCTGTCAGAGGCTGGAGACCCCACAGGGTAGGGCAGTTAGGACCAGTCTAACTATCATGACCCAGTGACCACTGCTTCTCTCTTGAGGAAAAGACAGAGCTCAGCAGTGGCCTCGTCTGGGCTCTGTAAGGTGGGCTTCTTTGGGGTAGCCACTTTCCAGAATTCCATGCTCAGCAAACTCCAGACCTTGCAGACCTTTGAGGCTCCACCACAGCATTTTCTGGTGAAGGCCTGGCGCTGTGCTTCTATGGCTTTGATCAAAAAGACAGTAATACTCAGTTGTGATCTGCATGTCTTTAATCTCAGCACTTGAGTGGGTGCAGCAAGGTGATTGTGAATTTAAGGCCACCCTGGCCTATACAGCAAGACCTAGTCTTGAAAATAAAAACACAAGGACTAGAGAGATGGCTCAGTGGTTAAGAGCACTGGTTGCTCTTCCAAAGGACCCAGGTTCAATTCCCAGCACTCACACGGTAGCTCACAACTGTCTGTAACTCCTGTCCCAGGGGACCTGACACTGTCATGACAGACATGCAGGCAAAACACCGATGTACATTTAAAAATATCATTAAAAAAACATTAATTAAAAAGGAGACAGGCAGTGTAGCTCAATGGTAGAACACTTGCCTAGCATGTGTGAGCTTCCCCTGATTCCATTTCCAATATCCTAAAAAATTTTAAAGGTATAGTTCTGTATGGGTCTGTAGAGCTGGCTGGGTGTTGTTGACAGGACTGGGGACATCCCTTGTCCACTGTGCGCCTGAATGTTCCATATGTTCATGTGTGGGACCACTGGAATCAAAGTATGGTGGGATCTCCTGAATGCACGGGGATAATCTTAAAGATTTATTTATTTTTCTCTTATGTTTGTGAGTGTTCCGCCTGTGTGTGTGTGCGCGTGCACAGCTTGTGCTCTGGGGCCTGCAGAGGCTAGAAAAGGGTGTTGGATCCCCTGGAATTAGAGCTATGGAGGGTTGCAGGCCTCCACATGGGTACTGGGAATCAAACTAGAGCGGCCTGCATGTGTGTATGGCTTAGGTTGTTCTTTGTGTAATTTGTGGCGTTTTCCCTGGTCAGGATTTGTTATGTATATATAATACTGTTTTTTAATGGAAATCTGGGGACCTGGGGATCGAGGAGCCAAAAGGGGAGCCTTTTGCTATTTAGAAGTTGGGGTTGGGGGAAATGATCCTCTTAGGCTGCATTAGAAATCAGAGTGAATCATCTTCCCTGAGCAACTGAGGGCCCTGGTATTGCTGCTTGGATTCCTAAATTAAACTGCCTTCTGGGAAAACGTACTAAGAAATGAAGCACATGCCTTAGGAGTGAACACTGGACACTCCTAAAACTATGAAAATTACTAGACCACTGTCAGTAAATATCCGGATTCAGTGGGGAAAGCTCTTAAGGGTTCATCCAGGTGTAGTGTACACACGAGAGCATTCAGATTTAAATCAGGACAATTTGCTAAGTGTTGGAAACGCGTATACCCGCAAAACTATCCCTTTGTCAGCGTGTTGAGTGAGCCTATCATTCCCCAAGGTGTGACCCTCTGGAGTTCCCCTCTGTCCACTCCACTTTTGTCAAGATTACGGGAGATTAAACACAGACATCTGGAAATGGCGGGTGTTTGGAGCAAAGCCTGGCGGGTCGCGGCCGAGCTGTGCGTGTTGGAACCCACAATCCTGTTGCATATGAAGAAACAGACCTGTGTTGGACTCTGCCCTGGTTGCGGACCAAGAATTTTAAAACTCCTGGGTCCTAACTTTTTGTCTCTGCCCCCGGATCCAAAGATCTCTCTGCCTTCCCTAAATGATAAGGACACCTTTTGCTTTAAGGAGGTCACTCCTGGTGGCCTCCTGAATAGCTTCAGGGTGGGCCAAGTCATTGGCCAGACTAAGGCAATAAAGGGCTTGAAACTTTACCACTCTTGACCTCCTCGGAGGGGAGGTGACCAAGGTAGGGTTGGCTACCAATAGATAGTAATTTAATCGACCTTGCTCATTAGTAAGTCTACCATAAAAATCCCCGAAGGCCTGGGTGCATAGCCCTGACTCGTGAACACACGGAGGTATGTGGAGAATAGCCTACTCCTGTACCCACTGCCCCATGTTCCTCTTCCAACCTTCTTTGAAGCATCCTACAAAGTCACTGGACTCAGAGGGTGTGGTACGAACTCTTAACTTACAGCTGGTCGTAAGGATAAGTGACAGCCTGTGACTTGCAGCTGGCATCTGTAAGGAGGTGACAATCCTGTGCTTACTGAGCCCACAACCCGTGGGATCCGGCACTGACTCTACAGGCAGTATCAGAGTCACATTGGATTAGAGGACAACCAGATGCTGCTGTCCGTGGACAGCTGCTTTGTGTCCTGTCCACCCACTGATGTTAGCAGTGGATGTTGTGTGGTGTGGAAGGCTAAAGATGAGAGAGTAGGGAAAGGAGTGTGTTTTCCCTTCAAATACCTGTTTTCTTGTTACTGCCTGCCTGGCCAGTACAGGGAAGGCCTGTAATGTAGTGACAATTTTAGAAGTTTGGCTCCTTTAAAAAACACCAAAATATTATAAGAATATGTTTTCATCTTAATCCCAGCTGTGGGGATATGGGGCTACTTCTCAGCAGCTGACTATGGTTTGCCTCGTGCTCAAGCAGAGGCGTGATTTCTGCCAGCTGCAGATACAGTTTCTGCGACTGTGTGACATTTGAAATTATGGGAACTTTTCAGAGGGTGTATAAACGCTAGAGCCCTAGTAGGTGGGGCTGGGGGTTGTTGGTAATTTAGGTGGGTTGCTGGTTGCTATTGGTCACAGTTTGTTAAATAGTAGTGCACAAAGAAGAAACTAGATATCCTGATGGAGTAGATCAAACTTGCCCCAAGGAAGTCTACACCCCTAATCAGCAGGAAGTAGTGTTAGCATATAGGCAGCCTGCCTCTAGGTTGCTTAGCAGCCTGTGATGTCATCATTTGTCGCCACCACCAGGAGCCCAGGGATAAAAGGATCCCTGTCTCGTCTCCTCCCTCTCTCTGTTTCTCTCTCTCCTCTCTTGCTCTGTCTGCCTTAGTTTCTCTCCTCATCTGACTTTTTTTTTCTTCTGAGACGCTTTACCCACCCCCTTCTCTCTCCTATACTTTCCTCCTGTCTCTTATTTCTTTCTTTTTCCTTCTCCCCACCTCCGTACAATAAATCTCTTTGTACCAGATCCTATTGGGCATGACATTTTAAAATATATTATTACAAGTAGTCTAACGATAACCTCATCCCCTTTCTGACCCCTGACTTTATTCGGGGATCTCTTTCCTCTCCTCTCTATCCTTTTTTTTTTCTCTCCTATCTGAAGTTAGGGGGTTGAAAAAGTGGAAGAAAAGGGGTGGAGAAGGGTGGAAGAAATAAGAACCCCTAAGTAGCAAGCACTGGCTACACTACAGGGCTTCAGGATCCCCAGCTTTTCGTGACTGTGAGCCTACACAGGCCTCTCTTGCAAGAGGTGAGCTCTGGGCAGCAGGAGGGTCTCGGCAGCTCTGGCTAGCCTCTCTCCCGCTCTTTTCCATGCCAGGGTCCACCATGGCTGCGCTTCCTAGTGCTGGTTGCCATTTTCAGCATTGCCTTGGTTTGTGGTGGATCTCATGAGTCACACAACGAGGGCTACACATGGGTCTTGACTTTGCCTCCCTGGATGCTGGCAGCGGATCTGTGTGGATACTGGAAGATTCCAGTCAGAGTATATGTTACAGATGAAAATGACTGTGGTCTTTGGCTGGGTCTGATTCATATGTGCCTTTCACAACGCGGAACTGTCAGCTCTTAGATTTCTGTCCTTCTGCTAGCCGTGCCAGACTCACTCTTTGCCCAGGGGTGTTTGGCAGCATGGAGTCTTACACAGAGGAGAGTCTCTTCTAGGGCTCGGCGCTGGGTCCTGGTACAGAAACATGGTCCCGTGCTTGGGAAGGGAGGCTCAGACAGAAAGCACGGGGGCCTCTCTTTAAAGGGGGGAGAGCAGGACGGCAAACCGCTAGAGTAGCAGCAGAGGGTGACATCAGAGCCCATGGTGGGCTCTGCCCTAGCAGAGCACATATTTTTCTCTTTTGGTTGCTGCCATAAAGTCTACTCCAACCGCTCCTCACCCCCCACCGCTGGGTCAACCTAAAGCAATTGCAGATGTGACCTAAGGTGACACCGGGTATGTGACAGGATAACACTTAAAGGGCCGACATTCTTGACATCATCTTTTTCTGGGACGGGGCAAAACTGGTAGCAATTGAGTAAATTCATGGGTTACACATGGACGTCCTCATGCCTAGGGACTGGTTCCTGTGGCTTTGATCCTCTGATATGTTGCTTCATTCTTTTTGTCAACAAATGCATCTTGGCCAGCACTGTATGACACATGGAATCGGGACATTGAACCAGGCAGAGCTCCGCCCCGCAAGAGCTTGTGGCATCTCGGGGAGGCAGAGCCTTATAGCCGTGGGATGGCTATCCACTCTTCCTCTTCTGAGGGAGGGAGACTGTGGAGATGGGATCAGAATGAGCCCTGCCTCAGCAATGGAAGCTTTTTGCCTCCATAGTAAATGAGATCTGAGCTGAGTCCTCCTGCCATCTGAAACAGCAGAGGAGGTTCTCATCCCAGAGGCTCTGTGGCAAACGAGAGAAAACCAACCTGCCAGTCAAAACGCTGGCTAGTGGCCCACATAGAACATAGAGCTTCTTTCCTTACTTAAAATTTTTTTTATTTTAATTTTAATTTGTTATTGTTGTTATGTGTGTGTTTGCCAACTTGTATGTAAGTGCACTGTGTACCTGCCTTGTCCCCTTGGAGAACAGAAGGCAGTGACACTAGAATTAAAGATGATTGTGAGCTGCTATGTGTGTGGGGACCCAAACCCAGGTCCTCTGTGTATAAATGGAGGATTTCGGAACTAGATGATTGTGGTTTTTATTATAGGTAGAGGGAGAGAACAGCCAGAGGCACCGGGAAGAGTCCAGAGAGAAAGTAATAAACTGAATAATGGCTAGCAGACTGGACCAGGCCATTGGGGGTGGAAGGTGGGCAGAGAGAGAGGGGGGTCAAGAGAGGAAGACAAGAGAGAAGCCAAAAGGGAGCACATGGCTGAGATGTCAGGCTCATGGGAGTGAGAAGCTGGAGAAGTTTAGGGCAGGGGCCAGGTGAGAAGAGCCACTGGGATGTGATATCTAGGAAGCCTGGAAACCAGCAAGCCAGCCTCCAATGCCAAATTAGCATAGCTGTTATGCTAATAGATGCCACAGATAGTCATTTGTCCTGAGTTTCTTTTGGGCCTGACACTGGAAGAGCAGCTAGTAACCACCAAGCCATCTTCCCAGCTCCCTTTCCATACTTCTTTATACATACAAATATATGTGCAGATGTGTGTATGTATTTTCCCCTTGGTGTACGGGTGTCTTCATGTGAATGTATGTGTGTCAGTGCCCTTGGAAGCCAGAAGAGGGGTTAGATTCCCGGGAGCTGGAGTTACAGGCAGTTTTGAGCTGCCCAGCGTGGATGCTGGGGACCGATTTGAGTCCTCTCAGAGAGCTGCCAGTCACTCTTCAGCTCAGAGCCATTCCTCCAGTCCCTACTGCCTTTTCTCCAGAGATTTAATCTTTATTTGGCCCAAGCCCCCCCCCCACACACACACACCCCCCCGAGAGCATAACCGTTGTTAAAGATCTACACTAACATCCATCTGTTCATTCAGCAAGACCTTGCGCTGCATCCTAGAGAGAGAAGGATGCTGGTCTTCAGCGTTCACAGTGTAGTGGGAAGGCAGCTCTGTAAATAACCACGTTCAGCGGAAGAGTGTGGCGAGTGTTGAGTAGCACTTTTGTGACCTTTGGCCAATTAAGGATGGCACTTTGAAGAGGCAGTGGCTTTCAGAGGGATGGTATTTTTAGAGTTGTGGAAGCACTTCGGCAATTTGTTGCGGAGAGCGGCTAGCTTTCGTGGAGTATTTTCAGCAAGCTGTGAACTTGTTGTGAAAACTGCAGATTTCATGTATTCAAGCTTAACACATGCCAGCGTCAGGGGGAGGGGTGGGAAATCCACAGAAGCAAGTGACACTTTGGCTTGCTGTTCATGGGGCAGCTTGGTTCTGTGTCTCTTAGAGTAAGTCCTGAAGTGGATGTTAGAAACAGATTTTTAAAAATGCTTGATAAAATAGGACTTCTAAATAAAGCTGGTTACTTCATTTGGCCTCAGTGTCTAATGTGACATCTTTCATAGAGACTTTTGAGACATCCTTTCATTATATAGCCCTCGCTGCCATAGAACTCGATAGGGAGACCAGGTTGGCTCCTGCTCCTGAAGATCCACCTGCCTCTGTCTCCTAAGTGCTGGAATTAAAGGTGTGGCATTCCACTTGGCAATTACTTAGGGATTTTGTTCTTTGAGACAGGGCCTCTCTGTGTAACCCTGGCTGTCCTGGAAGTAGACCAGGTTGACTTGAACTCATCCTGAGTATTGGGATTAAAGGCGTTCACATCATCACCTGGCTATTGTAGAGTTGTTTTTTTTTTTTTTTTAAAAGGGCGGTTTATATATATACACACATACCTATATATGTGTACGCATAATATTTTTATTCTTTGAGAGTTCATGCATGTATAAAAGGATATTTTGATCTTCCTCTGTTTGGCCCTGGCCCTGTAGCATTGCCTGCTAATAGTTGTTCAGGGGTAGGGTCTCTTGAACCCCTCCTCCATTTATGCAAGAATTATGATTTGCTTGAATTTGTACAGATTGTGTGCCGATAAGCACAGTTGCCTCGTTCATGAGTGCAATGGCCACGTCATATTCAGAAGACAGCACTTGACAACATTCTTTCCCATCCCGTGGCTCTTACATTCTTTCTGCTTCATCTGATCCCCCCTGCAGAAAAGGCTTCTCTGACCCAGGGTGAGCGTAGCTCTTATTTACAGATCTGAACATAAAAACATTTGGAAGGCAGTTTGGCAGCCTGAACACTGAGCAGAACAGCAATAGTAGGTCCCCTACTGGTTAAGGGTGGATTTTAAAAACCAAGAGGCAAATAAAGCTCTCCATAAACCTTGTATAAAACTAAATATACCCGAGGATCTAACACCCAGGTAAAAGGCAGATCATGGCTGGGCTGGTTGCCTGTAATTTCTGCTCAGGAGCCCTAGGCAAGGGGATCACAGAGTTCACGGCCAGCCTAGACCACATAACAAGACCCTGTCTCAGAAACAAAAAATACACAAAGAAAACACAGTCACAGAACAACATTGCCAGCACTGGGAAGTCCTTCCTTCTCTTGCTGTCCCCCAAGGGTAACCATTAGTTCTGCCTTTTGCTGAATTTCACACACAAGCGTTTGTTACTTAGCGCGGATGCCTTCTGAGACAGCCTCAGGCAGTTTTAGCGTTGTGCAAACAGTACACGCATGTTAACCTAGACGGTGTGTAATCTACGGCGACGCGTCTCCGCTCTCTGCTGTTGCCTTTCGCTCCTAGGCTGCAAACCTGTCAGGGTGGTGAGGCTCAGAACACCGCAGGCTGTTGTAACAGCGATAGCCACTGTGCACCTGAGTATACAGAAGGTAGATTACCATCACTGAGGGGCATGGGAAATTTCTTGCTCTCCTAGTCTCATGGGGCCTCTGTTACACATGATCTTTGTAAGAGGAGAGATGCAGTGTGTTTGGCTTCTTTTGAGCAACAGTATAGTCCTCAGTTGTGTTTGAGTCATTGTCGCTGCTCTCGGTACTCTGCTATGTGGCTATACTACAGTTTACCTAAATCTACTCTGCTATTGGTAGGCTTTTGACTGCTTTCCAGATTTTTGCTCTTAAGTTGCTCAGACATTCTTGCCCCTGCCTCTAGGTGACCTGCACATTTCTGGTGTTTATAATCCTCAGGGGAAGCTAGGACTAAGATTGGCCTGAGTTTTAAACGAAGACATTACTTATTGTTTTTTCTAAAAGCCTATGCCAACTTCCACTCCGGCCAGCAGTGTTAGGACCCCAGTTCTTCTCCTGCATTCCTAGTACATGCTACTTTTTTTTTTTTTTTTTTTGAGACAGGGTTTCTCTGTGTAGCCTTGGCTGGCCTGGACTCCAGGCTGGCCTCCAACTCACAGAGATCCGCCTGCCTCTGCCTCCCCGAGTCCTAGGATTACAGGCGTGCGCCACCGCACCCGGCTAGTACATGTTGCTTTCATTCTTTTCTTTTTCTTCTTGCTTTGACACATCCTTTGTCCTTAGTTTTTCTTTCACTCAATGAGCAGTTGTCCTGAGTGTGCACACAAAACACCCAAAGCCTGAGCGAGCACATGGCTAGATTCCAGGAACTGTGTGCCTGAAGCTCAGGGTGGGGATGAGAGGTGGCTGAAGAGGCACCTCTTCAGGAGACAGCAAAAGTCTTTTCAGGAGATGATACAGTTTGACAGATGGGACAATTACCAACCAAGCTCACAATGGGAGGCCCCAAGCTAGGTCCACCAAGACGGTGTGTGGGAAGCCTCCTGTCTCTAACTTGGCTTGAGCCTCCCGAGTTAGATAGAAATCACGTGATGTGAGAAAGCCACGGTGGAGAGCACCTCACTGTAGCCGTTCCTAAGGGCTTCGTTTTCTCTCTTTGTTCAGAGCATCCGGTCTAAAGTGGAGCTGTCGGTGTGGGATCAGCCGGAGGACCTTAATCTCTTCTTCACTGCTACCTGCCAAGATGGTGTATCCTACCCTGGTCAGAGGAAGTGTGAGGGTCTGAAGATAGGAGACACGGTGAGTGGTCACCCATAGTTTGTAAGAGTCTGTGTTCTCCTGGGTGATTGGTCTCTGATTCTGACAGAGTTTCCAGCTGCCTGGAGTTCTGGGAGCTCATGTTCTGCCTACTAGTTCAGCATCCTTTCCAAGCTGCCGTTTCTGCTTCCACTCTTTCTGCGCTTTGTGTGCAGAGCCCAAGGTGGATGGGTTACAGAGCTCCGCTGCGTAGACCCTGCAATGCACTGCCACCCGAGGTTTCCTCGGGGCAGTGGGCCCTTGGTGCTTTAGCCATTATTGTTTGTAGTTTGACAGGGATGCAATCAGGTAGAAGAATATAGGCAGGGATCTAGGGGAATCTCATCTCTTCTGGAAAAGATGAAGACAGACAGACAGCCACGTGGGTTTTTTGTTTGTTTTTCTAGGTAGGGTTTCTCTGTGTAGCCTTGGCTGTCCTGAACTCACTTTGTATACCAGGCTGGCCTTGGATTCTCAGAGGTCCGCCTGCCTCTGCCTCCCCGAGTGCTGGGATTACAGGCGTGTGTCACTGCACCAGGCTCCATGGGTCCTTTTTGATGAGATTAAAGGGTATCCCACAGCCATGGGAACAGACACCTGTCAGATAGCAGGAATAAAAGATGTATGTAAAGACGCAAAGACACATATAAGCCGGGCATGATGACACATGATCAGTCGAGGCAGGAATATTGTTTTTGAGATTGGCTTGATCTACAATAGGGAGAACCTTGTCTTCCAGAAAGTTGAAAGATAAAGCCGTAGGCCAAACCAAAGATTGGAGATGAATGCACAGAGGAGTTCTGTGAGTAGGGACAGCATGGCCCCATGGTGACACAGGCAACAGGTGGTGACCGGAGGATTGTCCACACAGCCTCTGGAGGTCCACTGTTAGAAGCAGATTAGAGACCATCCAAAGAGTTTTTAAAATTTTTCTTATTTTTAGGATTCATGCTATTATTATTATTATTATTGTTGTTGTTGTTGTTAAATTAATTTTACATCCCAACCACGGCACCCCACCCTTGTCTTCTCCCAGCTCATCCCTATCATCTTCTCTATCCCCATTATTATTCTTATTTTAAAAGATTTACTTATTTTTACGTGCACTGGTGTTTTCCATGCAGTACGTCTGTGTGAAGGGGTCAGATTCCCCAGAACTGGAATTACAGATAGCTGTGAGCTGCCATGTGGGTGCTGGGAATTGAACCCAGGTCCTCTGGAAGAGCAGGCAGTGTTCTTACTTATGAGTAAGTCTATGCACATGAGTGCAGGTGCCCACGAAGGCTCTGGCGTGGAGCTAGAGTTACAGGTGGTAGTAAGGCACCTGACGTGGGTGGTGGGAGCTGAACTCTCGTCCTCTGGAGGAGGGCGTGCTTTAGCAACTGAGCCATCTCTCCAGCCCCCTCCGATGAGCTTTGATGACTGTTCCTTTCCTTAGAAAATAGAGTGAAGAAAAGCTTCCTTGCATATGTCAGAGGATCTGAGTCGAATCGACAGTATCTTGTGGGCACCAATGCCAGCTAAGGTGGCACTAAGGCAATTCCCCTGCCTCAGGAAGACGAAGAAAGCAGCTGCTTACAAGTAGCTGGAACATTCTAGGCTCTTCTTTCTTCCTCCCTGCTTTTTACATTAAGTGGCCCTTCACCCATTTAACCCCACATAAAGACACGGTCCCACCTTTTTACAGTCCTACAGTGACAATGACGCCTTACCACCAAATGAGGCAGCTCGAAGTACGGTCTGGAAGGTGACAGTTCAGGGAGCCCTGATGACCAGGAAGCAGGTCATTCTCCTAGTCAGATTTTTCCAAATGCATTTCGCTTTTACCAACTTGAAAAGGTCAATTTGTCAGAAGAGTCGGGTCATTACAACCGTCTATGACAGCTAATTCATAAGGCATGCAAAGAACAAAGTGATGTGCTTGAAACTAAATTCCCACGCCATCTTCTGTTTATGTAAATATGGCTGTGGTGCTTAAATTTCTGTGAACAAAATAGAAATGATGATAGTCTCTACCTCAGCAGTAAGACATAGTCTATAATGATATCAAGTGATTCTTTTTCTTTCTTTCTTTCTTTCTTTCTTTCTTTCTTTCTTTCTTTCTTTCTTTCTTTCTTTCTTTCT